TGCGGCATGCGGGCTCTAGTTCCCCGACCAGGGATCGAACCCGGGCCCCCTGCGTTGGGAGCGCAGAGTCTTAGCCACTGGACCACCGGGGAGGTCCCTGCATCTACTTGTTTAGAGAGTCGTTACGCCTCTTGAGGTGAGCTACACAAGTTCTAAACGAAAAGGCAAAGCAGCAGTGTCTCCCTCTCAGCACCCTGCCCCCAGCAGGGCTCTGTTCCGGCCTCCCCAGCAAGCACTCTCTGGAGGGGTGGGAAGAAGACGGCCAACTGAGAGCCTCTGGCACCCATGTGGGAAGAAGGCCCTTCCTGCTTTCTCTTCTGTTTAATAAACCATTGCTGAGGCTCTGTGCAGAATCAGGCATCACAGAGGTGTGTTGGGGCAGAAAAGGTGAGTAGGAGGTGTGCCCGGGCCCCAGGAACCCTCTAACCAGAGTTCAGGGCACCAGCGTTGAGTGCCACTGTCACCATGGTTGTTCTCCTTTTACATTTCTCAGAGTTGCTCTTTATGCCTGTGGTCTCAGAGTACAACTAAGGTATGTAAATAACAGATCCCTTATGTTTGCCAAGTTCTTCAAAGTTGACAAACCTCCCTTACAAAATGGGTCTCAACGAGGCACTCGTGACAGGTAACATTGATGTTATTATCACCATTGCACAGATGAGAAAATCGAGGCCCAGAAAGGTTAAATGACAAGGCCAAGATTCAACAGCTGAAAAGTGCCAGGAATTAGCCCAGGCCTTTTGGTGAAGCAGTGAAATATACCAAGGACTGCTAAGAACTAGAAAAGGGAATTGAGGGAAGACACAGGACCGCCTCCTCTCCATTCAAAATCAGCAGGGGAATGGCTCAGATGGCTTTTTTTGTTTTGTTTTTGGCCGCACCATGCGGCATGTGGAACTTCCCCGACCAGGAATTGAACCCATGCCCCCTGCAGTGAAGCCGGAACCTTAACCACTGGACCACCAAGGAAGTCCCCAAATGGCTTTTCAAACTCTGTCCAGCCTCTGGGATTAAACTCAGAGAGACAGGAAGGCACCAGAGAGTGAGTTGGCAAACTCAGCGTAGTTGGGCTTGGAAGATGTCCTCAGACCAGCATCCTTAGGCAGATTCCAAGGGGAGGTGGTGACTGGGGATGTGAGCTGCAAAGCAGGGGGGATTTTCTACCCCTTCTCTTTAAAATGGGAATAATAATACAACAGAGGCATTCTCACTGAGTGGCATGATGACCTCTGATTAAGGTAAAAAAACACAGAGCAAAGCCAGCGTTAAGTCATGAGGGGAAAGGCACACTCGGGGATCGTCACCACAGCCTCCAAGTCCTGTCCACTGTGGCATCTCATGACCATTAGGGTTGATTTTTTTCACCTCACTTTCTCCCTGTATTATTTTAATATTTGATAGATGACAACCATAGATAACTCATATGTAAGTGAGAAAGCATAATAATAAAATGAACTCCCGTGAGCCCCTCATGAACTTAGTGTTGGCCAGAACGCTGCCAACAGCCTGGTGCCCACGCTTGTCCTCTTCCCCAATTCAGCCGCCAGAGGTAAGTGTCACCCTGAATTTTGAGCATAATTATTGCCTTGCTTTGAAAACACTCTTTTATCACATTGACATGTATTTCCAAACAAAGGATAGTATAGTTTTTGAGCTTTATAAAAACAGTATCATGCTCTCTCTAGTTCTCTGGGATGCTTTGTTCACGCAACATTGTCTCTCCAGGAAAAGTAGAGAAGAATGTGGATTTCGGGGTGGGCAAAACTGGGCTGGAATCCAGATTCTAAATGCTCCAGCTGTGTGATTGCATGCAAAATTTTTTAAATTAATTAATTTTATTTTTGGCTGCGTTGGGTCTTTGTTGCTGTGCGTGGGCTTTCTCTAGTGGCAGCGAGAGGGGGCTACTCTTCGTTGCAGTGCACGGGCTTCTCATTGCGCTGGCTTCTCTTGTTGCGGAGCACGGGCTCTAGGCACGTGGGCTTCAGTAGTTGTGGCTCGCGGGCTCAGTATTTGCGGCTCGCGGGCTCTAGAGTGCAGGCTCAGTAGCTGTGGTGCACGGGCTTAGTTGCTCCGCGGAATGTGGGATCTTCCCAGACTAGGGCTCGAACCCGTGTCCCCTGCATTAGCAGGTGGATTCTTAACCACTGCACCACCAGGGAAGTCCCTGCATGCAAATTTCTTAACTCCATTGAGTCTCAGCTTCTTCCTCTATAGAAACGGGGCTCTCCTTTCCCCTACAAGGTCACAAAGAGGATTAAATAAAGCGTATATAAATGTTCCTATTACAGAACAGATTTTTAAAAATTATTGAGAGCTTATTTTTTTTCTTTCATTTTTTTCTAGCTCGAGCGGGGAGGATCACTGATCCACAGGGGGGGAAATACTTACAAAATTATTCCTCCCTAGATAATATAACCAACTATTTTTTCGATTACGAACTGGGAACACAAATTTTATTCAATAAGTAAAGACATTACTAAAATATGTACTTCAGCTATATATTATGACTTGCTAATGGATAGAGGGGGAGAGAAAAAGGGAACTAGTGGGAGAAAGGGAAAAATAGAAACTATTAATGAGAGGTCACCAACTGTGTTTCTGCTTTTTGAAATGTGAATTAACCATTGTTTACAGCTCTTCAATGGCTCCAATCCCTAAGCCTATTAAGGTCTGCTTAGAATGGGATTCTCTCAGCAGCCCACCAAGGAACAATTATTCTTTGGGGTGCAGCGATGGTGAACAGAACAATGTCAGGATGACATCAAGTTGTGAACCAGCTGGAAAGTTCGATAAGCCTGTGTCAGATGAAATTCCTTGTGATATCCCAGTCCTCAATTAAGCTCTTTTCACACGTACCTACTATCCTTTCATAGAGATTTTGTGGTTCACCTCTTATGGCATGGCCTTCTTTGCCTGCTTCCAAAATAAGGTTTTCGGCAAATAAATAGGCTAGTGGAAAAGGCAAATGAAATCTAAGATCTGGAGTCAGGAAAACCAGTGAGATTGACATTAAAATGCAGAGCACTGAAATATTTATATGTGCCTTTGTGAAATATTAATGCAGCATCCTGCAAACATACAGGCAAACACTCGGGGGCAGGGCGCCCTCAGACTCTTTGAAGACTGCCTTTTAACTGAGCACAGCTTTCAGCACTGGAAATGTTCCATTCGCCTCAGGGCACACTGTGGTCTCCTGAAGTGTCAGCTGGTCAACACAGACTTCTTCAGAACTAACCCAGAACACCTAGTTCCCCTGGGCTAGCTGTTCCACCCTTCCTCACACCTGGAGGGCACCAGCCATCTGCCAGCCAAGAGGCCACAGGGACTGGGGCCCTGTATGGGATTGGCACAGATGCTTGGCTTCGGGCTGCTAGGTGTCAAAGTCATCCTCAAAGGATGCACATCTTCAAAGGCTCCTCTCTGCCCACTGCCTGGCCCTGTGCTTCCTGAGGGATTTGGGAACCCCAGCGGGTGCCTTCAAGCCCCAGAGAGCTGCGCTGAGGGGGACCCAGCCAACAGGGCTTTATATAATCTGGATGAGAAGGAGTGGGGAGGAGCAGCCTGTAAGTAGGATGGAGTCCTGGATTCCCAGGACTTTACAGAATGTAGACCCCCGTAGGGGAAGTTATCAAGTCTGTCCTGTTCATTGTTCTAACCCTGGCATCTAGAACAGTCCTAGGCATACAGTGGGAGCCCAATAAATAGCGGTTCACTGACCGACTTGCAGCCCATGGAGGTTGGCTGCCGAGCTATCCCCACTCAGGGGCAGTGCCCTTTGCAAAGATGGAAAGAAGCAAGTGTGACCATTTCTTCCGTTTCCAGAAATGAATGACAGGGCAGGCAACAGTAAAGGACAGATGAGAGCATGTTTAAAATGACGCAAAGTGTCCATCCATTTCCTGAAAGGTCTCCCACAGTTATCAAGCTGAAGAAATGAACACAGCACTAGGAGTCAGGAAGTCTGGGCTTTCGTCAGACATGTTCACGAATCTGCTGTGTGAAGCACAACTAGTCACTTCCTCTCTCTTGGCTTCAGTTTCCTCTTCAGTACAGTGCAGTGGTTGGGCCAGACAAGTTCCAAAAGGCTTACCCTTTGGTCATGATTGGAAACTCAAGACTGGGTTTGTCAAAGCCATTCACTGCCCTCTTTCCTAGCAGGAAGGCAGCCGCCTACTCGCTACCACGTTTTACTTCCTAGGAGCGCCCAGGAGCCCTTGTTCTAGAACATTCCCTGCTGATCTATGTGACCAGTCACAGCCACGACCCAGGGGCCCTGAACACAGGTATCAGTTCTCAGCCTCGGCTATCCTCCAGAGGCTGGAGGGAGGCACAGAGCTGGATCCTCCTGAGAACTGGGACGTCCAAGGCAACAGCAGAGCTTTCTTCAACAAGCTTGCAGGCCACTCCATTTCTGGCTGGAAGCTTTTCTGAAACTGGACTGCCTTTCTGTTTCTGTGGGGCCATTTTGCCCTGGATCATTCACTGGATGAGGGCCGCTGGGCCCACTCTCTCACACAATGTGCTTAAAACTTGCTGCTGACAAAGGGAAAGGATGCCTCCCCTTCTCCCTGTGCCCTTTCCTTCCCTCCCTTACTTTCTTCCCCTCTTTCCTTCCTGGCACACTTTCCCTCACCCACCTTCCAAAACTTCTCTCCCTTTTTCCCACCTCCTCCCATGTACTTTCTCAGCCTTGGTGCCTCACCCTGACCCTTTATACTTCTGGCTTCCAACGGTCTTCTCGTGGGTTTCTGATCAGCACCACCATTCCTTTGGCCTGGAAAGCAGGGCTCAGATTTCTATGTTGTCAAAGTTCTCTTGCCATCTTCACTCAAGGGTCCAGGTAATCCATCTTTTTTTTTTTTTCCTCTCCTTTCTCCCTGTAGGTCCCTCTTTGACCTTCTCCAACCACATCTTCGTAAAGCCGCCTGCCCCTACCTTGGCCATCGTTGGCAGGTGTATTAGTTCTCTGGAGCGGCCGCAACAAAGAAGCACAGTCTGGGTGGCTTAAACAACAGAAATTTATTTTCTCATAGTTCTGGAGGCCAGAGATCTGAGATTGAGTCTTGGCAGGGTTGGCTTCTTCTGAGGCCTCTCTCTTTAGCTTGTAGGTGGTCGCTTTCTCACTGTCTCTTCATATGGTCCTGTATGTCCTGATTTCTCTTCTTATAAGGACACCAGCCATATTGGATTAGGGTCTACCTCAGTGACCTCATTTTACCTTAATTACCTCTTTAAAGACCTGTCTCCAAATACTCAGTGGTACCAGAGGTTGGGAGACACAACTCAGTCCACACCAGCAGGGGTGACTGTCGTCGTAGCGGAGGGAGCACAGGCATTATATGCTGGTACCTGGGCTGATTTTCTTGGGCTGCACTCCTTTAGGGAAGGATGTAGAAGGTAGGCACCCTGCAGTCCAGAGGGGGTGGTTCAGTATGACCTTCGGAGGTGCTTTCCACTCAGCACCCCAGCTGCTCCCCGACAGTCATAGGCACCTGAGCTAAAGAAAATCAGATCGGGAGAGTCCTAAAAGAAGCCGAGCATCAGGTAAACCAGAAGTTTAATAAAAATGAAAAAAATTACAACACAGTGGGCTGAAAATGGGCTGCTTTAGAAGGTTTGATATGTTGGCCAGCATGACACGTGGACTCCATGTGGGTTCTGGGAGGTCACAGGATTGGTCCCTCACACCCCAAGATTCATTTCACTTCTTATCTTGTTCCCATGGGGGAGGCCTCTGCTTCCTGGTGTCAGTTTTGACCAGGCTGGTTCTGAACTCCCTCATCCTGTGAGGAAAGCTGCCTGAATCTGACCTTCACCCATGATGATGATGGTCATTTGCATAATTTTCTTAGGTCCACATCCCCATCCCAGGTTCTGAGGTTGGCAGCAGGTGAAAGCCCATTTTGTGGAGAATTAAGAGCTTTGGGAGTGCTGGAGTCTCCTGCATTCCCAGGAGGTGACAGCCACAGCTCCCAGGGTCTCCTGGCTCCCCTGCAAATGCTTCTGAATCCTGCATGCCCATCTCTCTTGCAAAGTGCTCAGGGATGCAGAATGCCTGGGTGCTGGCGACAAGCGGGGTCCAAGAGTCTGCATAGAAAGGAGCCCTGCGGGGCCTGGCCACCTTGAGCCTGGCCAGTTAGGAGGTACTGCTCCTCCTCCGGGGGTGGAGGGCTTTCCTTTTGGCGATGTCCTCCTCTGTGTCACTCTCACAATTCCTCTGGAAGACAGAAAAAAAGAGAGACCCAGGGCAAGAGGGTCAGAAGGTGCCAGGAATGGGGTTGTGCTGGGTAACCTGAGCTGATACACGTGGGTCATGGGCCTGTAAACCAGGGAGATGGACATTGAGGGGAAGCCTGTTGCTCTGTCTAGACACCAGGGGTGGGTGGGATGGGGGTGGGGAGGGACCTGAAATGGGGCCAGACCAGCTGCCTTGAGGCCGCCTTCCCAGGAGGAAGGAATACAGGCAGAACAGAGCATCTAGGGAAAATCAGGTACCAGAAGAGGCCAAATTATAATAATAATGAAAATTATATCCGGTGTCCTTTGTGGCTGCCACATAATCAAGACCACTTGGATAGTTGGTCTGTGGGCTGGTGGGTCTCCTGAACTCAGCCTAGAGAGAACGGGGGAGGGATAGCCACAGGGATCTCCCCAGACTCTGACGGCCAACTCTCCCCCTCTTCTTTGACTGGCTTAAGCTGCACCTTTAGCCAGCCCTGCCATGTAGTCTTTCCAGGGAAATGGCTTCCGTGCTCCATTTTTATGAAAGAGAAAAAGAGCAAAGTGCAGTCCATCAGCTCGTACATGGCTAAGCCAGAGTGGAGCAGCCACCCTGGTGGTCACCGTGCCTTTTTCATTCACACCACATGCATCTAATTAAATTATTAAAACTATTAAACAAAGTCCTAATTCAGAAAGACAATGCAAGTCATAAAAAAAAATCTATTGTCAGATGTTCAATTTTAATGCTTCCTAAACAAAAGGACGTATCTTTTCTTTTCTTTTTTAAGGAAAATGCCTTTTGGAAAACTGAATAATAGATGTCTGGAACCCATTCCTTTTTCTTTTCTTTAATTCTTTGGCCACGCCATGCAGCACGCAGGGATCTTAATTCCCTGACCAGGGATCGAACCCTGGCCCCCTGCAGCGGAAGCCCAGAGTCTTAACCACGGGACCACCAGGGAAGTCCCCTGGGACTCATTCCTTTTCCACGTGTAGGGTGAGCCATGGAGCTGATATCAGGTGCTGACTGTTTGAGTAAAAAAGAGGACTATTTTAAATGTTTGCACAAGGACAAAAATTAGGAAAGAGTTTTATACGCTTTTCAATTACTCTCTGTTCCTCTTTCCCAATGGCCAGCACCGTATCAGGGCAACTCGGCCTGAAAGGCATGCCCGCTGTCAGCCATGTGCCTACCCAGGGCCCTCTCTCCTTCCCCTGGCCTGAGCCAGCTGGCAATCCAAGGTCAAGATCAACTTTAGCCAAATACATCCTGGACCAAGCCCGGATATAACAATAAAAATAACTTGAGCTCTGCTGAATAGAAACTTTTGAGCATGAGTCAGAGCCATACAATACAAAAGACGGCTGGAGAACAGTTTGCCTGTGATGAACAGGGATTTTCAGAGGGAGCAAGTCCAGTCCCCTTTTACAGCAGATGAGGAAGGCAGCCAGAGAAGGGACATGGCTTGGCCAAAGCCACACGGTTGTTTTGGGTCTCTGGAGCCATAAATCCTCAAGTTCCGGACAAGAGTGAGAATCAAGAAGGGCTCAGGCTGGTGGGGGGAGCACAGGGGCTGCGCCAGGTCCCGCAATGCAGCCTAAGTGCTGTGCGCCCTGAGGCTGCCCAGGGCTGCCGGCCCATTCACCTCAGGCTGCCGCCTTCCAGCCTCTTCCTGAGCAGGCAGTCACCTTCTGTCCTGACCTGTGTCATCCTAGACCCTCCTGGGGCCCTCACCACACTCCGTGAGCAGTGGGGAGGGTCTGTCAGGGAACCTCGACCAGCTGCAATACTAACACTGCATTTCGTAGCACCAGCACTGCATTTTAGTTTACAAGAGGGTTTTAAACAACAATAATAGCTGCTAATAAGTATTGACCACTTAAAATGCCAGGCTCTAAGAATATGTCATCATTTAATCCTCATGACTACCCTGTGAGGTAGGAACTATTGTTAACCCCATTTTACAAATGATGACATTTTGGCACAGAGAGGTTAAGTAATTTCCTCAAGGTCTCACAGTAAGTGGAAGATTTGAATCCTAGCAGTCTGGCTCCAGAGGCCATGCTCTTGACTACTATATTATTTTGTAAGTCTCTCATTTTAGATGTACGTAAAACTGCAACAAGCTAATCAAATATAAGATATCATCTAAATATTATTGTTTTTATTATTATTGGCAATCTAAAGCAAAACAGAAATGGGAAAAATCGGCAAATGAATGTAAAGCTTTCATTCTAAAGCAGATCCTTGGATCATCAGGAATTGATTTTGGATTGCCCCCGGCAGTCTCATTGTCCACTGTTCCCACGGTTCCTGGCAGGCTACAGGTCCTCAGGGGAAAGCTGGGGCTGTGGAGTGGCAACAGCAGTACCTTTGAAAGCCCACCAGGAAAGGATTCGAGGTCCTCCAGAGGCTCATGCTGCCCCCTTGGAGTGCCCCCTCCCAGCACTACCCCAGTGGTCCCCCCCGAAACACAGATCACAGTGCAGAGCCTGCCAGAAACAGTTAAGCCCCACCTCCTCTCCCCGCCCCCTTCCCCCCAGCTCCAGGCCACACCCAGAGTTCCACCCAATCAGAGGGCATTGCATTTACCCACCAGGTCCTCATTCTGCCTGAGCTGCACCTTCTTCATCAGGGAGCGGGTGAGGTGGTTACACAAGGAGACAATGCTGAAGGAGAGCTGAGGGAGGGGGAGGAGAGGAACCGCCAGGTGAGGATGTGCACCGAGACCCCGGAGGGAACCAGGGGCCCACCTGGCCCCGCCCCCACCCCTAAGCCCTGACCCACCTTCCACCGCCTGCGGACATACTGCTTCTTGAAGTTCTCCAGGTTGACCAGGGACTCCCTGCGCACCAGGGCTTGCTGGTTGTCCACAGGCTGGGAGACAAAGCAGAGCATGGCGGTTGACGCTGGGCTTCGGATGGCAGCAGGGCCCCTGACCTCACGCCACCCTTAGCCTGACCCCGGGACCTCCCTGCTGGGCAGGGCACGCAGAGGAACCTCACGCTGAGGGCAATGGCTCCAGAAGTCCCAGCTGTTCCGGAGATGCCCTCGGCACCCCTGCGCTATTATTACCACAGCCAGATGTGCACGCTGGCTGGGCTGGAGGCTCAGCCCCTACCTCCCCGAAGGGGAAGAGCAGGAGGCAGTTCCTTCAACCATGGGTCACTCTGGGGAAGGGTCATCGTACAGCAGCCCACGATGCCCACTGTGCACTGGGCCAGTTCTGGGCCTAGCAAAATGGATGCCTCGTTAGCAGACGGGCATTAGTACTCCACTCAAAAATAAATGTAAGGAAATAGGGGCTTTGATGGGGGTCGAGAGGAGATGGGATGTGTAGTTGCCTTTCACTGCTTGGCAGTCAAGGCTTAGCTTAAACCCTGACTTCTCCAAGAAACCTGGCATGGCTTCTCTGAGCCTCAGTTTTCTCATCTGTAACATGGGGATAATAAATAACATTGTGTCACAGGGTTGTTTAGGATTAAGTAAATGGGGATGTAAAGTGCTTAGCTTAGAGTTGCTCAATAAATAGTAATATATTATTGATAGCCCTCCTGTCTTCTCCATTCCATCTTTTTATAAATTATTTTATTTTTATAATAGCTTTATTGCAATGTAATTGATATACAAAAAAAACTGGACATATTTAATGGACTCCAATGTGAGGAGTCCATTCCCTCATGAATTCCTGCCTCTTCGTAAAAAAAGGTTTTCCTAGATTGAGAAATCAAGAGATGGGTTTCAGGGGTTCTGTGAACCTCCTGAAATGGTCTGCAAATTTTAGTGCATCAACTTGTACATAAATGTTCATAGCAGCATTATTCATAATAGACAAAAAGTGGAGAGGACCTACATGTGCATCAACTGACGAATGGACAAAATGTGGTATGTCCATACAATGGAAGAACTGAATGGCAAATCCATGCATGGAAAGAATGAAGTACTAATACATAGTACAACATGGATAAACCTTGAAAACAGTATCATAAGTGAAAGATGCCAGACACAAGAGGTCACGTATCGTATGATTCTAATTACATAAAATGTCCAGAACAGGCAAATCCACAGAGACAGAAAGTAGATTAGTAGTCGCCAGGGCTGGAAAGAGGGGAGGATGCGGAATGACTGTCTATGAAAGGGTGTGAAGTTTCTTTCTGGGGTGATGAAAATGTCCTGGAGTTAGATAGTAATGATGGTTGTATAACCTTGTGAATATACTAAAAAGCACTGCATAGTACATTTTCAAACGGTGAATTTTATAGTATGTGAATTATAGCTCAATAAAAAAAAAAAACTTAGTGTATAAGGTACAGACATACATTTCCTCTGAGAAGAGTCAATAGCTTCCAGTGATTCTTAAAGGACTCCGTGACTCAAGGAAACAAACTGCCTGAGGCGATCCATAAGGTCCCATCCAGCTCTATTCTTCTCTCTGCTCTGACAGCCTCCTCACAGCAGTGCCTCCTCTGGCACCTCAGTGACCGCTGAGTGAGGTCACTCATTGATTCCTGATGCTGGTCTTGTCTCCTAACCACACTGCAAGCACACCTCCATGCCTGTTTATTTTTCATCATGGCGCCAGGTGCCAGTGGAAGCCAATGCATATGGCCGGCCCACACTGCTCTGGACCTGACATCTTCTGGCAGGAGGCCCCTTCCCTGTTTACCCAATCTCCCCCCTCCAGGACGGCCTCTGTGTGTTTCAAAGCCCAATTCAGACATGACCTCTTCCAAGATAACTTCCAAGAAACACTCTCTCTCTCCTAACATGACCAAAACACGTGTGCTCCTTTATTATACTTAAGCCCTCTCTCGGTCAGCTCTGCAGTGGAGTCATCCCACTAGTGGACAACAACAGGAAGAACTTTCTTCATGTTTTTGTCAATGTTTCCTCATACCCACTCCTGATGCAGAGCATAGGACAGTGGGTGCTGAAGAGCTGTATGGATAAACTGTTTCCCTGAGCTGTTGCAGAATCAAACCAGAACGAAGTCCCAGGACCTGCTCATTCCCACCGGTGAGAGGCCCAGGCACCTGCATCAGCCCAGCCGTGAGACCACGGAAGGGTGTCATGACACCATGACTCCCCACAGCTCTGCCTGGGAATCAGCGAGGTGAGAGGCAGAGTCCTGGGGAGGTCAGGGAGCAGGGAGGAGAGGGCACGCAACCTTGACACAGAGGGGAGATGAGAGAGCCAGGGGCTATTCGCTCCCCCAAAATGGGACACGGTGGTTTGGGCCAAAGAGTGCAGGAGGGGAGAGAGGAGGAAAAGGAGGAAGGTAGGGAGGAGAGAGAAGAGAAAAGGATGTTGCTCTCCCAGCTCTTTCCTTAACCCCCTCTCACCTCCTCCGCAAGCCCAGCCCTGGCTTTAGGTCCCATCTGGAAGAGAGATGCAAAAGAGGGCACAGCGCAACTGATCTGTGCCGAGCCTGCCTTTTCCTGGCACCAAAACCTTCCAGCAGCTTCTGGGCACTCTCAATAGAACCCAACAGGCTCACCAAGAACCCCAAGGCCTGTATCATCTGGGTCCTTCTGTAACCTGATTTTCTCCCCATCTCCTTGCTGTCCCTGTGGCTTTCATGGCATGGGTCTGCTTGCTGGTCCAGGAACCCAAGGTCTCCGGGTCTTATTGTATTTACTTTGTCATTTTGTTCCGGTCTTTGCTCAAATGTCACCTCCTCAGGAGGCCTTCCTTGACCACCCTATATAAAATAGCACCCAGCTGCCCCATGCAACTCACAGTGCCTCTGCCCTAGTTCTTCATAGCACCTGTCACTACCTGACATTTTATTCCATATTTATTCATTTGTTGTTAATTCCACCTCCCCATACCTCTCAGCAACTAGTTTCTCCTTCCCAAGGTGACTGGCATCCTGCCTTCCCAGCCCACAGAACATTTCTACCTCTAACTTCACAAATGTCTGCAATTCACCTTCGAGTCGAACCCTTGCAAGGGACACTCTTGCACGTCACTTGGACAGTTTGATGAGCTAGAATTAGTAGACTCTGGGAGTTAAGGGACCTCTTTTTGTCTACTTACTGATTGAGCCCTTGTGAGGCGAGAGATGGCTAAACCCCACGTATGGAAGGCTGACAGGCAGGCTCGGGGAGTCCTGTTAGTGAGAATCCCACCTTCCAACTGGTCCAGCAGTGCCAGCCACTGAGCAGAGATGCCCAACTAAAATATCATATCGGACCATTCCCAGAGGCCATTCATGGGAGGTGATGCAGTTACTTCTAGGGCCCTGTCTATATGCTACACAAAACAGCATGAACTCTGAGGAAGAGGCTATAAACCTGTCAGGCTGGCCTTTCCCAATCAATGGGCCTTGTTGGTTGCTAAGAGGCTCACCAAGTGCTGACACTGTTGTCATCTAGGCATGAAGGCAGAGAGACATAAATTCTGCAGTGAGATCAGTTCCCAGAAGGAATGTGGCACCAACACTTTGGATTAAATTCAGGGTGTGAGGGGCAACAGAGTTTGTTCCGCCTTCTCCTGACCCTCCCCTTTCTGCAAACAAACAGTGCCCACTTTCCAGCCTTGTGGTCCTTCAGCGATACCAGAGAGTGTGGGTGATTTTGACCAGGCTCCTAGGAGCATGTTTGGTGTCTCAGAAAAATGTTGGGAAGGGAGAAAAGAAGACAGAACGCTGTGGCTAAAGTCAGGTTTTTTTCATGCAAGTGTCTCTGAAAAAGTCCATTGGGGAGAGCTAGGCAGCACCGACATCCACAGAGCAGGGAGATGAAGCAGCAGCCATCCTCCCAGGCATAAAGACAGACCCTGGCTTTCCAGAAGAGGCACTCCAAAGACTTTCTCTAAATACCAGGCCTCCATAAAAAGAAACGAAATTGAGTTATTTGTAGTGAGGTGGATGGACCTAGAGTCTGTCATACAGAGTGAAGTAAGTCAGAAAGAGAAAAACAAACACCGTATGCTAACACATATGTATGGAACCTAAAAAAAATGGTACTGATGAACCTAGTTGCAGGGCAGGAATAAAGAGGTAGACATAGAAAATGGACTTGAGGACATGGGGTGGGAGGGCGAAGCTGGGGCGAAGTGAGAGTAGCATCGACATATAGACGCTACCGAATGTAAAACAGTTGGCTGCTGGGAAGCAGCAGCACAGCACAGGGAGATGGGCTCGGTGCTTTGCGATGACCCAGAGGGGTGGGATAGGGAGGGTGGG